CATAAAAATATCAACATTTTAGCTTGTTTTCCATAATAATCAAAATATACTGTAATAAAATATCCATCTACAATGTGAAGAATAAAGATACTGCTGCTGTTTAAATTTTCCGTTCTTTTCTGATTCACACCATTTAACTTCCAGTTTATAATAGGGTTAGAATTAGCGCTTAAGCCTGAATTAGAGAAGTGTTTCGTGATGAAAATAATTTTTAGGATGTTTTTTAATTCTTAATGTAGAATATAGTTTTCCGTGGAAGTAAAATTCACGATTAATATTAAATTTATTGCATTAAATGTACCAAATTCAGACAGTAGAAATCTTGACCACGTCTCTACTGTGAAATGGGCTGTTTTGAACAAGAAGTAACGCAACTGCTTTGCCATTTCTACCACGTTTCTCGACTCAACTGCTACGTCTCCTCACTTCCGATCCACTTCCCCTGTCTTACAACTATTTTCTTGGAGAATAAACGCTACTAAAAATCCTCTCAGAGATTTTGCTCATTTTTAGCAATTTTTTGCGCGTTTTCCGCGTTTTTAAGAGAAAGAAGACGGAGAAATGCACTGTCCTTAAAATAACTTGCAAAACTTTTAAAGTAACACATTGAAAATGCATTACAAGAGCTTCAAAAAGAAAGCTCATTATTGACTGAGAGTTCACTTTTATCTGTCGGGTTTTTACCAAGAGAAGAGATGGGTATGCAATTTGCCACTCAAACAGTTAGACAAATTACAAACGTTCATAGATATAAAAATAAACCTATGCATTTTATTTGTTTGCTTGTTTGTTTTAAGCGCAAAGAATTGTCAGAATTTAGATTTTAGTTGTTGGTGAAATATAGGTTATATCATTACATTCAAATTCAATATAAAAATTGAATAAATAAATACATATATAATGGCCCACAGCCAAATTGTGTTTAGAGTTACTAAACTTTCCGCTTACTGTCCGTTTGGAATTTCGCGCAAAGTTAGTCGAGGGCTATCTGCGCTAACCATCCATAATTTAGCAGTGATAGACTAGAGGGAAGGCAGCCAGTTAACACTACTCACCACCAAACTCTTGGGCTACTCTTTTACTAACGAATATTGGGATTGTCCGCAATTCATAAAGCCCTCATGGCTGAAAGGGCAAGCATGTTCGGTGACGGTTGTTCGAACCCAAGACCTAACTACCAGGCCATCCGTAAATTTTATAATTTTTGTAGGACAAAAACAGTTTTATGATGTTTCGAATACTATAATTGTCGTACATCTACGCACTGGCCGTTGATATATTATTTAGACATTGAAATAAAAATAAAAACGAAAATAATGAACACCTATATTATTAAAAAATAATTATTTTTATTTTTCTACTCGTATTGTTGTTATGGTTAGTAGGTTACATTATCAACTATGTATAATAACTAATTATTTGTTATTTTCTTTATTTTCAATTTCTTATGGGAACAGACTTAGGACAAAAAGCTTACCTGTATGAGTTCTTTGATGAGCTTTGAGGTGAGATGACTTAGTGTACACTTTTTTACATCCATTAAATTGGCACTTATGGATTCTTCTCTTATTATCTGGCACCAACTCAATGTGGCAACGAGAATCAATCAAATTATCTGACGCTGTTAGAGTTGCTAACATCCGTGGACCTAATGTCGATGACAGATCCTGCGGAATGAAAGTCTTTGTGGTCACAGCAACTTGTAAAGAAGCACTGATATCTACGTCTTGAATTGAAGGACGCTTGATCGCATCCTCTGGTGAGCACGGAGGCGAAAGAGGGGATTTACCTAATTTTGTTAGAAAGTTTACTGAAATACTTCCTCCACCTGGTGGTGATGAATGATAATTATTCTTGAAATCCTTTACTGTGGTCACGCTAGTTTCAACTGATTTCCTCCTGAGGGCGCTATGTGTCACACTATCGCCATTATGATCACTCAAGTCAAGATCTGAAACACTGAGCCTATCTTCTCCTCCACTACTATTTTCACTATCGTTGCTACAATTTCCACTTCCTGTGGTAGAACTAAAACTTAATAGAGATCCATTTGGGCCTAATCCTCGCTCATCGCAGATGGATTCACGTGAAGACAATTCTCTGTCAGTTGAAAGTGAAAAAAGGTTTTTAACAGACTTTGGTAGCTGTCTACATTTGTGTATTCTAGGTTCGTCTCTGAGGTAACGTTCCATTTCCAAATTAGTCTGAAAATAAAGATTAGATCATTTTTACCTTAAACTTTTAGCAAATATGCAATATAAGGCATACGATGCAATACATTCACTTCAAATATAATTCATTGTAATTTAATTCACTTTTAACTTATCGAAGACAATAAAATGCACCATCGAAACTTCACTTACACGATTTATTAAAACTCTGTACAACGTAAGCGCTGATTTTACATATAATTCGCATAATTTCAATCAAAAATATTGAAGTACTGTATTCTTTTTTTTTTTACACAGAATCTACTTACACTCCAAATGACAAAACTATTTACAAGTTTAATAGAACACTTTTTAACATTTAACATAGTTTGCTGTTTCTTACAGTAATGTACTATCATAAAATTATGGAAACATATTAGGAGGCTTAATATAATTTGTTGTTAGTTATACTAACAAAACAACATAACGTTATGGAAACCCATGTGCCGAGACATAACAAGAGGGTTAATATAGTTTGTGTTAATTACAGTAATGAAGAAACAAATCACGTTCAAAAGAAAAATCTAAATTAATCACTTATTAAAGAATTAAAATTATTGGCTGTAAAAGCTCTTTAAATCGCCATATGTTAATACAGGTCCTTCACCGCTAGAGCGAAGTATTGTTTATTTCTATAAAACATTCCAACATTATTGGTCCCCCGGTGGTACAGCGGTAAGTTTACGGACTTATAACACTTAACTCTAGGATTCGATTCCCCACAATGGACACAGCAGATAACCCAATGTAGCTTTGCTTTAAAACAAACAAACCAATATTGTTGAAATACGTGATACAGAAGATGATGAAACAACAACAACAAAAAATAAACAAAACCTATTTATTAGCTGAGTGTTTACTATCCAATTCTGACAGAATTAGCCCGGCATGGCCAGGTGGTTAAGACGCTCGGCTTGCAATCTGAGGGTCGCGGGTTAGAATCCCCGGCCCATCGAACATGCTTGCCCTTTCAACCGTGAGGACGTTATAATGTTACAGTCAACCCCACTATTCGTTGGCAAAAGAGTAGCCCAAGAGTTGGCGGTGGGTGGTGATGACTAGTTGCCTTCTATCTAGTATTTCATTGGTAAATTAGGAACGGCTAGCGCAGATAGCCCTCGTGTAGCTTTGTGCGAAATTTAAAACAAATCAAACAAACTGACATGACAGAATTTGTAATTAAAATTTTTCACCTGAACGGCAACTTTTGCACACGTGAGGCTAAACGGTTGAGTCAAACACCTCTAACGTTTAGGTTACTAATTTGTTTTTCGTTTGTTTGAATGTATGCACAAAGCTACACAATTGGCCATCTGTGCTCTGCACACCACGGGTATCGAAACACGGTTTCTAGCGTTGCAAGTCCGCAGACATACCGCTGTGCCACTGGGGGGCTAAGTTACAAGTTTTGAACTAGTAGAAAGAAGGCAGCTATCCACTAGTACCTGTCATCATAAGGGCTCTTTCCGGCTATTGAACTCAAATAACAAGCTCGACTGTCACTTTTATAATATTCCCACAGATAGAATTACAGATCGTGTTTACTGGCGTTACGTCTCGTAACCCAGAACTTTGGATCCACAGCCCAAAAAGCTATCCAGTAGGTCAAGTCCGACTGACAGTTTTGACAAATAGAGAAAAGTGAATTGCATACGTATGATTCTGCACAGACAAATTGTGTTAGAATCAATATACATCCCCGGTGGCTCAGAAGGCTTAAAAAGCTAAAGCTTAGGTTTTTGATATTCGCGATGGAAAGAGTATAGATAATCCATTGCATAGCTTTGGGCTTAACAATAAACAAACATTCTGTGAATAAAACATAAAGGTTATGAAGAAAAGTCAACGAAAGACCCAATCGTTTGTTATTAATCAGAACAAGAGGGAATCCTCAATAGCAGCAGCTGTAATTAGCTCTCAAATCGGTCAAGAGATGGAGCTATGAGCTAAAAGTGTGTACTTGAAAAATACCCAGAGCCATTCTACGAGCCGCTATATTTTATTTTATTGTACAGGAAAAGTACTGCAACGTTTTTTGTTTACTTTACTGGTATGTGCATAAATAACCCTGTTGACCTTACTGTTGGCAGTACAACAATACTGTGGGATAAAACGCTGCTTCTCCAGAAAACATACATGTGCATTTATTTACTGTTTATTTGATAAACTAGCTGCGACCTGGAAAACATTTGTGGTAGTTTTCATGCCCTTCGCTTGAATTTTCCATATTCTTTCATGTTCACGCACTGCATTTAAGCTACGCTTTATTACAGGCATTATGTGTTAGATCGATAAATCGTGGTCTATTTGAAAAAAAAAATACGGGTCACACAAACAAACTAACATAGACGTAACTCTATTTAATAAAACTACGCGTAAATTAAACAATAAAGTAAGGTAATGGTTTTTATAACAGTGTACAGAGTATTAAACAGTTATGAGCATTCAGAGTATGACGAATAATACAACTCGTAGTAAAGAAAAAGTAGCTAAAAGGTGTTTATAGCAGTATATAAAACGAACCTCAGCTAAATTATTGCAAAGGTAAACTTAGCTGAATATGCAGAAACGTCTCAATGCGTGTTCACAAAGTGATAAGCATATGGTTTTGAAGGAATTGCGCATACGTATTTTAGACCTAAATAAGTCGAGAAAGCCCATAGCAATTGTAAAGGTTTTTGGGAGAAAAAAAAAAGAGCAGAAGGCTGGTTTCAAAACAGTATAGGTTTAATATACATCATTGCAGGAATAAAAGCATGATTAAATGTGTTTTAAATTATTTAAGCTCTACAGTCTCCAGACAAACTTATGTAAAACAAAATCACTAATAAGTACCCGCTGGACAACTTAAACATACGTCGTATAAAAACACGAACAGCAAAAGAATATACTTTTTTGTACATGTTTTGAGTCTTTAGTTTGGTAGGATTACATAATAAACTTCGCTCACGATTTATAATGCACGATAACTTAATTGTGAAAGTGAGGTTTAGGTTTGTATGTTAGATGGGTTTTAAGCATATTATTATATTTTTCGATGACATATTGGATTGGCGCAATTGGAAACATAAACATGATGTGCTTAGACAACTTATTATCCAAGGATAGATATCAGCAATGGTTAACTGGTATTAATTATGGGCTGTAAGACGAAAGCAGCAGTAATGTGCAGAAAGGAAAGACTACCTCCTTAACCTTGGTCGTAGATGTTTAAGATTTTGGTCTTTTCTTAATTTATTTTATTCTTTAATTATATTAACGTCTGGTCAAACCAAGCTACCTACATAGATCAAAACTAGATCTTAACCCAGTAATGACTTAACCTATCTTAATATACTGTTTTTACGTTCTTAAAATCCTATATTAATTTACGTTGTGTGTTTGTCAATTTCTTTGTTTGTCCGCGAACTCCATCTACAATTTTAGACCAATCTTTGCAGACGGATTCGAGGTGGCCCGGAGGTGGAGTGGGGTTGTTATTATCTATATAGCTTAGCCACCTACTCTGACTTTTGGGGGTACTAAGAGGAACTAAAACGAGCCCGAAAGGTCATCAAGGCCTTATGAAGATTTAAAAGTAGGTTTGCAGAGTCACCGACATCGAATGTGGAATTGGATTTTGTATTACTGGCCACGTACCTGTGTATTCTGGGGATACCATTTTTAAAACTCTGTTTATAATTACACTCAAGATAGCGGGAACAAACTTGGTACACGTGCTCAGGTACCACGGCCAGATGTCCTAACGGATCATTGTGTTGGGTGCGGACTCCTTTTGGATAACTATAGAAGCAGTAGGATATAATAGAGTAGCTTTATCGGTACACTGGGGCCTCTGTGAACCATGAGGGGGCCCTTGGACCCCGCAGCGGAGTGCAAGTATTCCATACTATAATTCAAAATGGAAAATAAATAAAGAAATAATAAAGTATAACTTGTTTACACGCAAAACACATAATGACCAGCTGCTTGCTTCAAGCACATTCACAAACTTCCCATATCTAAAAACATCTGATATCAATAAGAAAGAGATTGCAATTACAAGACTATATATATATATATCGAAGTGTTGATAAATGTACATTGATGATGTAAACCATACTTATGTATAAATGTAAAATGTACCAACAATATGCAGTGGCAATTGCCATAATAGAATAGAAAAATTAGAAATACTCCAGTAACCTCAGATGTAGAATAATATAATATATAGAAAATCTAATATTTTCATTTCCATTTTCTTTTCAATTATTGTCCTAAATTCTCTCAGACACTAGTTAACAACCAAAGTAAATACAGAAATGTAAAACACACGTATCAACTATATTCAGTTAAATACAACAATTTAATAGACAGATATCAACAATGCTCACTAAATACAACAATTTAACAGATACGTATCAAAAATACTAAGTTAAGTACAACAATTTATCAAACACGTTTCAACAATACTGTGGTAAATATATGAAATTAACAGAAACATATACAAATACTCAGTTAAATAAGGCAAAAAATATCAAATACTTATCAACAATACTCAGTAAAATATGAAATTTAATACACACACACATATGAACAATAGCCCACTGAGTAAAACAACTTAATACACAAATATTAGCTATACTTAAATAAATACAATAATTTATGAATTTGTTTGTTTGTAATTAAGCACAATGGGCTATCTGTGCTGTGTCCACCATGGGTATCGAAACCCGGTTTTAAGTCCGCTGTGCCACTGGAGGGCTAATTTATAAGACGTCCAAATATATAAGTCAATAAAATGACATCTTAAGAACGTTCGAAAATCTTCCAGCTACATATAAACACATATGCATAATGCTTGTTAATAACATATCTTGAATTACTCTGAAATAATGTGACTGTAAAATATCCGAATCACAATACAGAGAGAAAACTACTAGTAGGTTAATACGTCAATATTGTGGCTTGAGGCCATAAAGCGTTTAGGAAGAGAGAGGAAAAACCTCACACCT